GGCTAAAGCGCTAACATAGTCCGACTCCAAGAGTTGAATATGAGCGATAAAGTCAGAGCGCGTGCACAAGTCGGCCATCCCTTTTGGCTCATCCTCAGCGGGCAGCATATTAGCCTTCAGGTCCTCGACCTCTCTCAACAGCCGTTGGTTATCACTCTCCAACCGCTCCTTATCAAGCTGGAGGCAGTATTTTTCCTCGAGAGCTCTGTCGGCCCTTTCCTTCTCCCCCGACAACACGTCAGACTGCTCACAAAACATTTCCTCGGAGCATTCGAGGGAAGCCTTCAGTTTGCGGGACTTGGCCACAAGATCCGCCTTCTCCGACTCCAGCTCCTTGACCCGATCCAAGGAGTCTGACCCTTCTCCCGCGAGGACAACCTCCATCTCGGCCATTTTTACCACCCCGACCATGCTGGCAGCGAGGTGTTTCCTCCGACCTTCCTTGTCGAGCCTCCTGATGATGTCGGCCTCATTGTTTGATACGGACAAAGGAAATCCCTTGAAGAAATCCTTTTCCACAAAACAGGGTGGCAAGCCGAAGACCCGGGCGCCCACCCCTCCGTCAGTCACTTTGACCCCATCATCTGGTCGACCTTGCTTCTTACTGATCAAAGCAGATTGGCGCTCGGCGTCCAGGGAACCCGAGGACCCACTAGATCCTTCCCTGCCCGAGTCAGGGGTCGGGCCCATCCGTGTGGCTTGTTGTGGCCTCACCAACCTCTTGCTGATTTTCTTGTCTTGAGTTAGCTTCAGCAACCTCTCACGACGCTCCGCCATGTGACCTGCAAAGGAAGTGTACTTGGGTTAGCCACATACATTAAACAAAACAAATAAAGAGGAATGTCAATAGAGCAAAGCAAGAAACCTAAGAGGTCTACGGCTTTCCCGTAAGACTGGTACTCGATGAGTGCCTTGGTGTTGATCGGGCGCGCCTCGAACATCGGATAGCCATCCTCATCAAGAACGTCGTCCCCTTCCCTTATAACCCACCGAGCAGTAAAGAAGTCGTCGAAAAACTTGTTCAGGACGCCATAAGCTTCCTCGTCCTCAACACTCATACCCCCAGTAGAAGTGTGGTAGTATCCAGGTCCATGGTCGTAATGGCCCGAGCAATAGTGAATGGGAAACTTAGAGACTTCCCAATCCAGGGATTACCCTCATCATCCAAACACGGCTTTCCATCTTCGTCCACCACAGCGGTTGGTTCGAACATCAAACCTATGGCTGTCTGGGTAGACGGTTTCAAAATATACCACTTATCCTTAAAATCTCGCACATAATCCATATACATCCTAAATAGTCTCTTTGACTGCTTAAGGGACACCCAGCTATGCTTCCTTCCTCGGGACTGCCTTTGTAGATGAAAAACCCTGAAGAACAGGGGAATTGTTGCCCCAATCCTCAAGAAGAGGCAGGTGAGTTCGAATACCCGGATAAAGGCAATCGCATTAGGATGAATCTGGGAGGGGGCCAGGTTCAGGTGGTTGAACACTCCCACCTGGAAGTCATTGAAGGGCAACCGGAGCCCGAGATCTTTAAATATAATCTCGTACATGGGAAAGGCGTCCTATGTGAACTCCGAGCAGATACGGGCATCCCTCGTCGGCCTCATAATCTTAAAGTTTCTCCGAAATCCCTCCTGGCCGCTGCCATACTCGATGACATTGTAAGCTTGTTTAGTGTAATAACTATAGATCAAAGCTATTCCCCGAGGTTCAGCACCAACCCAATCCAGAGTGGGGTCGTCGACGGTGTCGACCAGATTGATGCCTTCATCGACAGTGCTTGTTTCTTCGATATCATTATGCCCCGAGGACTCAGGAATGTCGGCCATTTACCTGTAAAGTACGGGAAACTGGTGAATTTGACAGCAAATCCACTTTTCCGTCACAAAGACCATTCGTATGAAAAATGGGGAACACGTAGACCTCGACCAAACACCGACCTTAGCGGAGGACGTGTATCAATCATGAATGACGCGTGCATAGCATGAATATCGCGAGCGAAGGATGAATCCCGCGACCAAGTTCATAATGTTGCTGGCCAGATACAAGAATACTACGGGGAAAACTAGCTTACATGCTAACGAAAGGATGAATCTCCCGACCAAGTTCATGAATCTACTAGCTAAACACATGAGTCTCACAGGCACGATCGTAAGCCGTATGCCTAAACTTATGAATGTCGCGGGCATAGTCACGAATCAGGCGCCTAGGGCGCTTAAATTTCTCGGGCACAATTCCCAAACATGAAATTCTACCACTAAAACACCATCAAAATCTATCTACAACATGAGATATCAAAGGGAAAAAACACTTACTTGGGAGAAGAGTGAGGAGCGACGGTGGTGAAGATGAACACACGGCAAACGGCACGGCGGTCTCAGCGAAGCTAGGGAACCGCATGGTGATTGAAAACAGAGAAAATATAAGAGCGTGAAGAAGTGAAAACAAATTATGGGTCCTGAAGCCCTATTTATAGAGATGGCGTGGAATATGAAATGTCGCGTTGGAGAACCACTAACCGCCTCCGTCCTCGACGTCTACTCGCGTAGACAATGATGACCCTACCCCCTAGGGCGGCATTGTGGTTTCCAAGAGCCGCACTACATGTCTGACTGACGCGCCACCACCTCCCTGCGAGCGCTCCTCGAACACTTCTCGATCGCTGCACGGGGAAAAATAGGAACCAGATGATGTCTTACATCCCCGATTGAAAACCCCCGTGTCGCACAAGTGAGCCTCTCGAAAGAGCGAACTTGAATCAAGTCATAACTCCCGTACCAGGAGCAACGACTTAGGGGACTCTTGTTCTGGACTGGGCCTGCCTGTGGCCCAATCACCAGTAAGGCCCAATCCAAGCTTGCCAACATATCATTCTGAGCAGTGTATCCTCTGAGCACACCCCGATCATGGGTATCTGGTCGGCCACGATTACTTCTCGCCGGTGCCTGCAAGGAACGTCCCCAACGAGCGCGCGCTCCCTCCGAGCACCCTCCTCGTAGGGCTGACTTTCACCTCTCTGGATTTCGCGGAGTCCTCAGGGTCCCGGTAAGATCGCGTCTCTATCCTCCCTGTCTTGCGGAGAGCATCATCCAGGTAGGAGGCGACGTGCAGGTCCCCACTACTCACGTAGAACCTGGCAGTCCCTTTGTTGGGCCTGTTTGATCAGCCCAATAAAGAGACATTGACCCAGCGCCGGGGGTTATAAATACCCTCTATTTGAAGAGGGTCAGATATTCATTCATTCACACCTATATACTTACTTGCTTGCTCATTCCGTCTTTCACTTTACCATCAGAGTGTCCTGCAGATACCCCACATCCCCTTCAAATCCAGTCAAAAGCCAGCTGTGACGGTCCAACTCTGATCAGGTACGATCAATATATTTTAATGTATTTTTCATAGATTTATAAAACTGTTTTTTAAATAAATATTTAACAAAAATCGTATTAAAAAAAATACTATTTTAAACTATATATTTAAGTTGTTTTTAACTATTATTTTTAAATAGTTTTATAATACTATTTTTAAAAAATTATAATACTTCACAAAAATATTTTTAAACACAATTTTTATATATTATTAATTCTATTTTTTTTAAATAAATTATAAAAAAAATTATATTATTTTCTAATTATATTTAAACAGTTAATAAACAATACTTTACAAAAATATTTCACAACAATTATATCACAATAATCCATTTTAATAATAAACAAAATATAAATTTTTTTTACCTTGAAGATGAACACTTTAAATTTGAATTTCTTAGTAGCTTTATATGATAACAATAAAACATGAAATTAAAAATCAAAAATTAAAATTATTAATAAATGTTATATAAACAAAATAATATAAATTAGACATAAAATCAAATAAAAAAAAGATTACCTTAAATATAGAAAGATTGAAGATTTGAAGACGATGAATGATTGATAATATAGAAGAAGAATGTGGTGAAGATATGATTCTCTAATTGTAATTTTAATGAGAGAGAGGAAAAATTATGGAAATAAATAGAAGATAAAACACATGAGATATATAAAGAAAATGGTGAGGGGGTACCCATGGCAAATCTAACGATTACTAATTTTCATGGGGGCGTCCATCGCAAAATGTAACTTCTATTCTCAACGCAGTCTGCACGCCTGCACATGATGGGGTTGAATTGACTATACAACTGTGTAATTAGAGAGGGGATGCTACATGGAAATAAAACGTTCTGATTTGGCTAGGAGTTACTCATCGCAAATTACAAAAGACTTTTTGATAGCATGGACACTAGTGACAATTTGCGAGGAGTTACCCCAAGCAATTGCTACAATGTAATTTTGTGAAGTTTTACCCCTCGTTAAATGTAAAGCGGATAAATTTTTTAAAATTTAAAAATTTCCTCTTCATATATAGCGACGGGTATCCCCACGCTATTTATTTATTTTTAATTTTTTTTTCTAATTTATTATTTATAAGGAGTATATCCCCAAACAATATTTAATTTTAATGAGAGATATAACACCTCACAATTACCTAATATCATTTTTTTTCGTGTAGTGGAAGCATAATGGTTCAAGGACTTAGTGTCACTTATATATACCTTTGAGGGAGAGATACACGTCTTCAAAATTGATTATAATCTCAAGCTACAAACTATGTGACTAATAATAATATTTATAAGAGACATCTCATACTATGAGACAATATTTATAAGAGACATCTCATACTATGAGACAGTTGTTATACATAATCATCCCAGGGTAAAGCATAAACATTATATTTACACATCAATTCTTGTTCAAACAAGATAAAAACCGAATCATATATAAATATAACATCAATTTATGCACCAATATTACATTACACACATCAAATTTTACTACCCTAGTTTTGGATAATCTCATTCTAGTTAATCAACTCATCTTGCACTCATTCTCAAACCTCTAAAGTATGAACCAAACCTCGTCATCAAACTTACAACACCTTGCAATTAAACAACAGTTCTTAAATCCTCACAAAAAATATAGAAAGTTCAGGCCCAGGATTATTTCCCTCAGGACTCAACATATAAAGAGTCTCAGAATCCTTAGAACCAACTACATGTTCAAAAGAAGCTCTCATATAAGCCAATTCTCCATCAACATCGTCAACTTCATTTTTCATTGGAACAACACCAGCACCCATTGTTATAGCTTTAAGAAGCTCCATAACATGTAGATCCTCTTCTGAGGCTTCTCTCTTCACACCATAACCCGTTTTCTTCCCATTACAATACATTGTCCATAACGGTTCTTCAACCAACAATGTCTTATCTTTTTCTTGTCTTTTTTCACATTCCAGTGCAATTCTCACCATTCCTGCCGCCATTTCCTTCTGTAACACGCTTGTTTGCATTGAAAGTTCGATGACCAATGAAGGTAGACACTTTGGATTCTCTTGAACGGAGAGACTAACGCGTCCTTTACGATGACCGAATAACGTTCCAGATACTTTTGTCCCAATGCTTCCACCGATGTTTTTGTGGTGATGGTGGTGGTGAGCGTCGTTGGGCCCTGTTGGGATTGTAGGGAATTTGCAAGCGGGGGTTATAATTGGAAAGGAACGGAACACGGAGCGGAAGACACGAATGACTTTTGGTTTATGTTTTTTTTTTTGAGAGGGTTGAATGAGGGAGATACTTTGAGGAAGTGGTGGTGGAGATGGTAATGTTGTTGTTGTTGTTGAAGTTGTAGAATTATGAGATGTTGAAGCGGGTGATGAAGATCTTGGTTCCTCCATTGATTCGTGATTGAGAACAAGGAAGACAAGATGAGTGCCATCAGAGAAGAGAGAAAGAGAGAGAAAGAGAAAGGGAATTGGTTGCAACAAGTTTTGAGAATTGAGCGTTCAACGTTTTGTCTTGATTTTTTGAGGCTTAAGATGGTTCTTCGGGGCTTAATTTGTTTTTCAAACTAATTTGTGTCTTAATTTTACAACTACTCTTGATTGAGCAAGTTGTGTAAAATCTTTAAATAGAAAAAAACTTCTATATTAGTTTTATTTTTTTAAGTGGATTATAGTTGTTATTATATATGAAATAAATTATTTTTTAAATTCATAATAAAATTTGTATATGATATATTTTGTTGAGATTATAATTCCTAATAGGTTTGCTCGATTGCTATTATTGTAAATTTTGATGATATTTTAAAAGTTTTAAATATATTTTATCTCACTTTATTAAGTGATAAATATTAAAAAAAATATTTTGAAAGAAAATTATTAATATTATTATTATTACTACTATATTTATAATTTTTAGAAAAAATTAATATAATAATGAATTTATTATAATATTGACTTGACTAATTTCAAGTCATTACACACTATTTCTCTCCCTCTCTTATCACGCTAAGCATATAATCTGAATTTGATAATACTTAAGTTTTGTTGCATTTTGAAACATTGTAGACGAGTATGCATCATGTTGATTAGAGATAAGTCAACTTGTGAAGAAGGAGAATGTGAATATTAAATCTTAAGTCAAATGTTAACTCAATTCAGTTGTACATAGACAAATCACATAGGTATGTTAAATCTAGACGTAACATATAATTATTTTTGTGTTATTGAGAAAAAACTGTTATGTGTATTCGGTATGTAACTACCGTATAGTAATTGGTAGTAAACTTGTGAGAAAGGTCAAAACACATAATAAACAATACGTTTTTACAAAATACAATTAAATTATCCAAAAAAATATGGAAAATCAACCAATTGGATAATCATAAGATAATATAATATAATCAAACTTGATAATTCATGGGGTCCAAACAGTGTACATGCATACTAGTACCGATATTTTGCCTTAAACCAAATTAATTTAAAATACGGACAAAAATTATTCTAAGTCAATATAAAACAGTGTATTATCATAATACAACTCAATTATGTGTTTTTAAAATTTTAATTGTGCAACATTAATCAATGCTTTCACAAAAAGCATCTAAATTCTTTGACAACCATAACAATATCTGTAATACGGTGAGAGAGCTGACTTTTACGTTTTGTATTTTATCGCAAGTGTTGCGGATAGCAAGAGTCGCCACCGACTTTTCTTTTATCCAATAAAGGGAATGGTGAAAAGAACATGAAAGACCTTTTGAGAATTTTCTGAGTAAGGGGGGTAGGTTATGAAAAGGAAAGGTGTTAGCACCATTTTCATCTGTAGTTATCTACGGTCTCTTAATCGCTAGCTCACTTTGAAAATGCTTTGTGTTTGTATATGTTTGAAAATATTTTGAAAATGCCTAAGTGCGATAATTTTGTAATGATTCTCGTATCGTTGAGAATGTATACAAAATGTTTGTTTTGAGAATATTTGTTGAAAGGAAGTGTTGTTTTTGAAAGTGTGAGGTGTGGAAATTATTTTAGTTTGTGAGCAAGCGATTACAAGCGATCTACCTACCCAAAAAGTATTTGTTCTTTTCCTCCTCCTTTAGATAGTACTATCCTACCATTAGTTAGTAGGAAACCATATCATTGGATGTGTGGGACAAGCGCGGGTCATCATACAGTCATAGAAGGCAACTAGTAGGACGCTTTAGCAATTTTCGTAAGGGACTAAGATCGTTTACCGAATGCAGTATCGAAGGGTCATCGAAGGTCTACGATATTTTTTAATCGAGGGTCTTTTCTAAAGCGTCCCACGTTTGAGGGACATGATTATTTTATCTGAAGGCAACAAGCGAGGATACCCTAGAGGTGCGTGTGTGAGTTGTGTTTTGATTTCAGTTAATTTGTCTTGATTAGAGTTATCTAGCGGTTTGTTTTAGATCTTACCATACACGCCTAATTACTATACAATGATAAGTAAAAGCGGTAAAATACGGAAATTAAATGTCCTACGCTATTACAAAGCTTCGGGAATGGGGGTTACAAATTTATGAATAAGGATGACAAATCAAAAGTTTGATTAAAGGTCTAAATAAACAAACAATACAACTCAATTGAAATAATTTAAATAACTAATTAAATTAAATAATTTTATTAATCATCCAATCAATGCATTTTTTGTATTTTTAATAAAAGGAAAGTAAAAATAAATAAACAAAAGAAATATAAAGAAAGTTAGATGGGCCTGTAAAACAATGAATCGGGGGGTGCAAATAGAAATAACATCTAAGCCCAATAGATAAACCAGAAATCATGTGTGAAGCAAAATCTGGGAGGTATGGATAGCAATGGGAAGTCTAGGCCCAATTATAGGTTCGTGGGATCTCGCACATGGGGGTCCATGAAGTCACGCCCTAGAGAACGAATGTGGATCGTCTGATGATGTTGATGATGATATGATGACAAAACGAGGGCCACTGGGTGATGGTGCATAGTATGATCACTGGAAGTACCTGTATAGAATCAAAAAAGCAGCCAAAATGGCGGTGACACTTGTCACCGCCAGATTAGTGTTAAACTAAAATTAATTAACAAAAACAAATATTAATTAGAAAATCATAACAAAGAGACTCTTCTCTATCTCTCTCTCTCTCTCTCCCTGTCTGTCTCTCTCTCTGTCTCTCTCTCTTTCTCTCTTTTCAGACGTGATTCTCTTTATCTTTCTCTCTTCATTTATTCAACAACAAACATCTTTTAAAAAAGAAAACAGAAATATGGGAGATCTGGGCGGTGGTGGTGATGAACGTCCACGGTGGGCATAATGAACCAGGCAGCGGTGGTGACGAGTCTTCATGACAGAGGACGGTGGAGTTGATGCGACTTGCTTTGATTCTTAAGTTTTTTACATTGTTCTCTTTGTCTCTCTGCCCTGATCACGGTTCTGGTGCCTGATTTTGCAAGGGGTGAACATATATGAGTAGATCTTGAAAGGGAGATTGAAAACCCTAGGTGCTCGGGTGTGAAAATCGGTGAGATCTTTCTGATATTTTTATATTTTCTGCTCCTCTATTTGCGATTTTGAATCTTGAACCTTGCTTCTCTGAGATTTTTGATTTCTTTTTGTTTCTGAAGGGTTTTGAGATAAGGGAGGTAATGAACTTTTTTAGGGTGTTGCGCAACTTCTCTGATATGAATAGTTGCCTCCTGATCTCTAGGCCAATAAATGTTTATATACTGTGAAATTACTCTAGATTTTTTTTTGATGGACTCAATGATTGGAATGGCAGGGATGTGAGAATTTCATTCCCGTATTAGGCTTCTGACTTTCTGTTTTGTTATTTTTCTGATATGCTTTGCTGGTTTTGTGTGAATTCAGTGTTACTGCAGCCTTATTTGTACTTGATTTTGCTAAGTTGTGATATTTTACTGCTTTGTTTTACTGTGAACCAAATGAACCCCCCATTTTGTGTGTTTGTTTGAGGTTTGCAGTAGGATAATTGGGTTGGGCTGTTATTCTGTACTTGCTGAGATAATTTTGTTATCTTTTCGGATATGCTTGTTGGGCTCGAAAGTGTGATGTTCTGTACTTTTCCATTGGGCTGGTACTGTGATGGAATTCTGAGTTTAATCTTTGTCTCTTCTCAATTTGTCTCTTGTGAACCAATATTCATTTGTGATTTGCAATAGATGAATTACTGCCCATGATTAAACCTTGAAATTCTGATTTTTTTAGGCTTTAATGTACGCTTGAACATGATTGAGAAACAACCCTTTTTATGATTCCTTGAACAAAACCCTAATGATGAAATTATGAAAATACTCTTTGAAAGTTTCATGTTTATGTTCATGTTTTTAATTATTTTGTACTAACATGTCTTCTTTCCTTGTTTCATGTATGGTTGATGAGAAAAAGATGGGGCTTCAGCAAAGATGAAGAAGAAAACTGTGGCAACTATGGAAGAAATTGGAATAAAAATAAGAGATAAAGAATTGAATCTTGGCCAATAGAACTCATAGGATAACTTAGGGTTTAGAATTCTCTTTGGTTTGGTCTTGTAAAATAAAGATGTGATATTGTAATTTTTATGAACTTAGAAGTTTAAACTTGAATAATGATGAATGAATGTGTCTTTTTACCACTTGGACTTGTAATTCTCGACCTTTTTGTTTTAAGTCTTGTAATGAAACAAACTTAGAAACAATGTATCTTTCTTGACTACTTGCAAATTATTTGAAGTTTTGAATGAATCCCTTTACTATTGTTTTATGGATGGAGTATTGTAACTTTGAACCATGAATTTAATTGAATAGACTTGGAGGGAATTTGAATGCCATGATTGAGTAACTTTGCACATTAAGAATTTGAAAGAATACTTTCCATATGAACACTTGCATTATAAGCAAAAGAAGTTGAAAACAAAAAGTGCCTTATAAACTTGAATTAAATGGAGTTGAATAATGATGAATGACACTTGAAATTGAACTTGATGAACATATAAACCAAAGGTTGAACTCCCATGATAAGCCCAAAAGATCTCTTCACTTGAACTTGCATCATAACTTCACCATTTGAACTCAAAAATTGAATCAACAAATAACCAAAAATCCACTTGATTTTTAGAAACTAACTAGAATCCTTCTAATGAAAATCCACATAGAATCTCTCCTTAATCATTGAGCTTAAGAATGATATCTTGCCTTTTAAGAATCTTTGAAAAAGATAAGAATGGAATCAATGAATAAAACCTCTAGTGAACCTCAGTTGATGATTGAAGGTGTACTGAGGTATACTCATGATGATAATGCTTTCGAGATTTTGCCAAGAAAGTTGTCACAGATTCAATAATAAAAAACCCTAGCACAAGAGCCAATAGATGGGAGAAACACGATTCAAGGGCAAAATA